TCCCCACTTTGGTTCGAAAATCTCAAGTTAGTCCCTTTATAGAAAAGTGAGTTGAATGAATCCTTACTTGTAATTAATTGACTCTAATGAGTCCCTTCCGTTAAATAGAAGGAAACGGAGTTAGTGGACTGATGATGTGGCAGTTGTTTTTGGTGAGGTGTGTTTGCGTGCTTACGTGGTGTTAGGGTTCCCCATTTTCAAATTGGGTTGTAGTAAAAATTGGAGATAAAGGATTTGGGGCTGATTTGTTCGAGATTAGGGCATGTCCGAGAAAGAAGACAGAAGCAGGCAGTGATCGTGGGACGGAGCAGTGGTGGTTCGCGGTTGGCGTTGGAAAGAAAGTCCAACAGAGATAGATCCAACACTCTTCACTTTCTTTTCTCTCTTTCTTTTGTCTTTTTCGTTTTTTGTTTTAAATAATATATTAAAGGCGACAACATTCGTTTCCTCGCCATAGCCACAAAAGTTACAGTTTTTGTCGTTCATTATATCCATCCCATTTCGCCCCCATAGCCCTAACCCATCTGTGAGTTTTCCATGCTTTCTTTTACGCTGCATTTTACAATTTTCCTTTTCTGCGATGTTCGAGAATCAAATTTATTTTTTTTATTTTTGCTACTCTGTAAATCTGTTCCGTTGCTATTTTAGGGGTTTGATCCAAGTTAGAACAACTGCTCCTGCATTCGCACTAGCTTACATGTTATTACACATGCATTATGAATACCTTGAATCCAACAACTATTTTCTACAATGTTATTTTAATTTCAGAGCGTATATAAGTTATTAGAAATTGTAAAATTTAATAATTTTTGGGTATGAATCATTGCCATATTGATCTCATTTAAATGATAACATCGCTTAACAACTGTTAAAATATTGTGAGAATGTCTCTGCCCTTGAAGTTTTGAATTGTTTTGTCTGCTGCATAAAAAAACAATGTTTAACTTTTCCCACTAGGAAATTTGTTTGTTCAGGTGCTGAAATACTTACATTTTCTTTTCTTTCTTGTTTTTTTTTTCAAAGGAAGGAGTTAGTGTTTCTGGGTAATCATACTTTTCTTTTAAATTCACTTGTTGATTTTATCCAGCATTACGATTAGGGAATGTTGGAAATCAGACATACTTTATTTGGTCAAAGAATAACATTTCTCTCTTTTTCAGATATATTTTCTAGAGAGAACTCTGTAATTGGCATTCTGGAAGATGAACCAACAGAATCATGGATTAGGTACTCCTTTAAATGTTCCAGTGAAACGAAAACGTGGTCGACCAAGAAAAGAAGGAAGTGCAGTTCAAGGGGAGAATGTAGCTGTAATTCCTGATTCTGACAATGTGTTGTACTCCAGCCAAACAACTGGTACAACTAATGATTGTGACGATGAAATGGTAGGGAAGTTAGTTAGTGGTGTCATTGAAGGAACTTTTAATGCTGGATATCTTCTTAATGTTAAGGTAGCAAACACTGATGCTGTTTTAAGAGGCCTGGTGTACATCATCTGAATGAGGCCTGGTAGCAAACACTGATGCTGTTTACTTTCTGTTTTTGCTGCCACATTTCCTAATAAATGAGTTTCCTTTTCAACATTGTTTTTGGTCTGTCTTTACGTAATCTTACCATTTGTTTTTAGTTTAATCCTGTTACTGAGCTCTTGGTATGTGAAGAAATATAACTTGTTGCCGGTTGGTCCTGTTGCAAATTATGAACTCTTCGCTTGTGTATGAATATCAACAATTGGGTCAGTGTTTGGCTAAAAGTAGCATTGTTTATGGAGATACTTTTGGTAAGAACAAAGAGAAAGTGAGTATGAAAACAAATATTCTAATTTATAACTTTGAGGTTCTGCTATGGACAAAAAAAATACAGGTGAAACTTTGTAAAGCGATATCCTGTACCTCAACAGAGGCAAGAGAAATATGCATTGTCATTAAAAATACTCGCTATTTCGCGCAGGACAAATGTAAAAATTCTTCAAAAAACATCAGCTTAAATTTATGTCAATCAACTTTTCTATTGTTAAAACTTGACCTGTTTTCATTGTGAAGTATCATCCAAAATAATAAATTCAGGTGATCTCTAAAATATTAATCATCTATTAAAATATTTAATTATTTAATTTCAATAACATTCAACACTAAAACTTTTTCATAATTTGTTAGATCGCTTCGGTGATTTTTTTAATGCCATTCCACTGATTCGCATCTGGTTGGGCCTGAGTCATCCATGAAAACAAAATTCATTATAAAAATCAATTAACAAGGATAAAGCATATCAGAATGACCACAGTTCAGTAACATTGCTTACTTGTTTGTTTGAAGGACTTCGGCCCCATGAAAGCCGAACATTTTGTCCACCCAAAAGTGTGCCGTTTAAAACCCGCAAAGCTTCTTCTGCACAGCTCCTGGTGCATAAACATGAAAAATCACGGCACAATCAGAGGACACTGCATTTAGACAAGTTACCAAGATATATATAAATTACTTCAATGATTAAATTACCTGTCTGCAAATTGGACAAATCCACATCTCTTGCCAGCTGGAATCTTCACGTGAACTAACTCTCCATACTGCCCAAAAACTTGTCTCAAATGGTCATCGGTTTGCGCTCCCCTGCCCATACGACGCCGTTTGCGGAGGCGCATTATAACCGTACCCACTCTGAGGTGGCGCACCACCGTAGCCCTGCTGTGGCGCACCGTAGCCCTGCGTAGGCGCATTGTAAGGATACCCACCGGGCGGCGCCGCGGAGTAATAGGCATCCTGTGGCGGAGCACCGTAGGGAGAGTACCCATAGCCCTGCGGAGCAGGAGAATAATCCCTCACGCCGTAAGCCGGCGCGGGGTAACCACCGGGTGGGGGATAGAATCATGGCAATTCTTTTGAGGGGATAGAATTTTAAAATGTTTTTGATTTGGATTTTGCAGGATCTGGAATTGGCCAAGACTCTCATAAGGAAAGGCTGACTCTTTCCTGAAGAACTTTCAGAGGCAAAAAATTCCACCTAACACCACGTAAGCACGCAATCAACCACTGCGTATTGACACCTCACCAAAGACAATTGCCACATCATCAGTCCACTAACTCCGTTTTCTTCTATTTAACGGAAGGGACTCGTCAGAGTCAATTAATTACAAGTAAGGATTCATTCAACTCACTTTTTTATAAAGGGACTAACTTGAGATTTTCGAACCAAAGTGGGGACAAAATTGGGTATTATGCCTTAAATTGATTACAGTTTAAAAGCCTAAATCCTTTAAAATGGAGTAGTATTTTATTCCCTGACTTACGGAGACTTTAAAATGCGTGAAGTGGGTTGGGACATAATCGGAGATTGTTCGAAACTTCTTCCCACCCAACTTCAACACACTAAGGAAAGCCAGAGCAACGGGTTGCCCATCCACGAACCTCGTCAAATCTGCACGCTCCTCCGCTAAGACCTCCAAGTCTAGGTTCATCGTGGAATATCACCAGTTCTGGTTCCGCCTCCACTTTTGGTTTAAGCCTAAGATCTCCGTCAAGGTCTATTTCCGTTTTCTTTGCTTATGTGTTTTTGGTTTTGATCCTTGGCTCGAGCTTTTCAGTGTGGATGGTGAGGTGGGTCTTGAGCGAGTTTGAGTTTTCAGCATGGAGTCTCAGATGGCTCGTGGTCAAGTTTTTGTTTTTAGTGTGGAATATGAACAGGGTCTTAATGGTTTTGCAATTTCAGTACGAAATATGAAGAGGGTCCTGGTCAATTTCTCGTTTTTAGGATGAAATATGAACTGGGTCTTCCCAGTTTTTGAATTTTGGAACGAAATCTTAACTGGGTCTGGATAAATTTTAAATTTTAGAATGAAACATGAAGTGGGTCTTGATCGATTTCGTGTTCTTAGATTGAAATATGGTAGTAATTTTACAATGAAACATGAACTGTATCTTGGTAGTAATTTTTCTTTTTAAGAATGGTTTATATGAGCTTGGTCATGATCAGTTTTGAAGTTTTGGGACGAAATCTGAAGTAGGCATTGGTCAATCTTTCAATCTTAGAATGAAATATGAATTGTGGGAGAATCAATTTCGCGTGATTAAAGGGAAATCGAATGTGGGCCAAGTTGTAGTTCGATATTTCATTTTTGGAGTTAAAAGTGAGGTAGCTCCTGATTAATTTGATGTTACTAAGATGAAATCTGAAGTGGGTCTACTCTGATTATTTCGAGCATAAAGTTTGATGATGTTAGGGAAAAATTGTGAGTGTCACATATAAGATACTTGGATTTTAATCATTTGTGCTATGACATCTGCAATTCTTTTTTATTATTTATTGTTCCAAAATGTAGTTCATTATCTATTGTTCAAAATGCTATAATGTGTTAAAACGTATTTCAAAATGTTATAAGTGTTCAATATTATTTATTGTAAATAATAAACAAAAACCTATTATTTAGGTTGAGTATGGGACAGATTCAATACTTGAAGCCTTAACAGAAAATTGACATGATTTTTGCATGTAAAATGAATATTTTTTTCGTGTTAAAATATTTTTTATGGGCTGATCCTGATCCACATAACTAGTATTTTGGTCTTATGGGCCTTTCCAATTAGGATCTTCTTGGTCCTCTGGGTATTTTTTATCCCAATCTATATGAGTGAGATCAAACCATGTGAGGTGGTAGATAAGATATTTGTCTTTCTTACTGCATCCAATTTGTTTATCTGATTCCCCTGTGTCGTCATAGGCACAACAGACCGTTAGATACACCAAAAAAAGGCACAACTACCGAAAAGAATAAATATACTTTTTATAATAACCAATCACAAAACACCTTAATTCTTTAATTTTTTACAATAACCATTTATATCTATACATAAACACAAAATTTATTTGGTGTAATTGTTATATTCTTCCACAAATATTACCCATCAAATTAATTTCAACCAAGCGTATAATATCGACTGTGTTATAAACATTTTCTCACGAATTAAAATTTGTTAAAAAAAAAAGAAAATTTGAAGTTCTGCTATATTTATTCAACAATTTTTTCTAATAATTATATGTTTTTAATAAACTTTAATTAAAACATATGTTAAAAAATGAATTGTTGGCGTTAATCTATAGAGTAATTATTATAACGATGTAACAAATCTTATACCCCATCTTGACACCTACCCAATACCACTCTTTTCTTGTGCTTAGAGCGAAAGCAATTTGAGCACATTGAATGGCGGTTCAGGATGAGCATGACCCTATGCTCATGGTGCTTCCTTCTCTCTCTCCACCCAACACCTACCAAGCCGTCGTTATCGGTGGCACCTTTGACCGATTGCATGACGGCCACCGTCTCTTCCTCACTGTCTGTCTCCTTCTTTCCTCTATTATTTCAATTTTTATTACCATTTCTTATATTTAACGCAAAAATTGTGAAAGTTTGAAACTTGTATGCAGGCCGCGGCCGAGGTGGCAAAGGGTCGGATTGTAATTGGAGTTTGCGACGGTCCTATGCTGGCAAAGAAACAGGTTACTTTTACATTTTCCATGTTTAATCGGTTCTTATTTTTTTGTTTATTTCTGCTAATTTATTTTTAGACACAACCTCTGTAATTATACATCCACAGTTTTAGGTTTTCAACTGAAACTGAAAAATGCAGTTCCTTTTACAGTCTAACCAATTCGGTAGTCCGTTGCTTTGATTATATTCCACTTAGAGTTGGTTGGTTTTTCTCAGCTTTTTTCTTGAATTGTTGAGTTCTTCGAATTCTATGTAAATTAATTCCAATTCAATTTTGACTGCTCTAATTATTTATAGGAGTAGATAGCAGTAAGTTTACAGAATTTTAGAAATTTCAGCAGATGAACTGAATTTAGCGCTTAAACAGAGAAACTATTGAGTGATTTCAAATGTTCTGCTCTTGAAATTCAGTGATCAAAGTTTCATCTTTATAAAAATTATGGTACGAGCTTGCTAAATTAAGGTGTTGTGCTATTTGATTTTGACCATTGAAAATTTTAAGCATGCGGTGAAAATCGTTTTATTTATGTACAACAAGCGCCGGGGCTTGTGGATTTTACATACAAAGGAGTCTGTTCATGTTCTGTTTTTGCAGTTTGCTGAACTGATACAGCCAGTTGAAGAAAGGATAAATAATGTCAAAAATTTCATTAAGGTACGAGTATGTGTTCAAGCAACTACAGTTTTCCTTATTATTTATTCAAGAATTGAGTTTCCTGTGTTTTGTTCTTTAAAGAAGAAAACCGAAATTGACTTACATTATTGTTGGTCAGAATACATTAAGCTTTTCATTTTGCATGTTAATGTAGAACAACATGAGGGACGGATTGTAGGCATCTTTATATCTGTGTCGCAGTAACATCCTTTTTAAGTTGCATATAAGAGTTTGCATGTTTTTGTACCGTTGGTTGCATGTCTTAGATATATAATATAGAAGTTTTCACGTTTCTTCATCTAACAGTTTGTCTTTTGGAATAGTTAGTTCGTGGGCTGTGTGTGTGAATGTGACAAATGTTATAGGAATCTACATCTCTACATCTGTAAAACTAATGTTCGATCGAATGCTTAGTGTTTTTTCTAGCATAATTTATATGAAAAGTGCATTTTTCTTAATAAATCTTAATTAATATTCGTTTGAACTAACATGCAGTCTATCAAGCCAGATTTAGAAGTGCAAGCTGTACCAATCACAGATCCCTTCGGCCCTTCCATTGTAGATGAAAATTTAGAGGTTGTGATTGTGAGGTTAGTGTTAAGACTGGTTCCTGAGTGGCCATATTAAATTTTTGGTAGAGGTAGTGTGTATTCGTTTATGTATCTTCCATGTTATAATCAAGTATCTCATTCCTAGTGTCTGGTTTCTGATCTCAATGGTCATGGTAATTAAAACCTTGTTTTGGTAGAAAACGTATCCCATGATCCATTGTTGTCATGATTTTGTGATTTCTCTCTTCAATTCTGATTGCGTTGCTGTAGAAACAATTGATCACAACTTTATGCACGTTCACTTTTAAAAGTGTCATGGAGTTATTTGATTGCTAACTGGATTTGGCTTTGTTACAGCAAAGAAACATTACCGGGAGGATTGGCAATAAACAGAAAAAGAGCTGAAAGAGGCCTTTCACTGTTGAAGGTCTTAAATTATTGTTTGTGGTTTGGTTATTCTTTCTGATTAAGAAAAATTCTTCAGTTTTCTAAATATGTTATGACATATTAGGAATTATTTTCTGGGATCATATGCAGATTGAAGTTGTGGATTTGCTTTCTGGAGAATCAGGTGAAATTAAGCTGAGTTCGACGATGCTACGGAAGATTGAGGCTGAAAAGGCGAAACAACAAAACACGATATCGCAGACGTAGTTAAAAAAAAAAAAAGCTTTAATTTGTTTTTTCTTTTTAAATATTTCTTGAAAGGTCGAGTTTAAGATGTCCATTACAGCAACTGACATGTAGTTGCATGTCATGGCAGTGTTTCTAAGTTTGAAAGGCGGAAGGTCACATTCTTTCAGAAAAAAATATTGTCTTGATGTGTCTTTTTTCTTTAGCTGACAGCAACAAAAACACTACTGTTTTGTTTAGAGAAATGTGTTGTATTTATATTTATATTTTCTCTAATAAAAATAAATGTTTTATTTTACTGCAACCAGTGTTGTTCAATTGATAACGTCACATGAACATATTATATAATAAATTTAAATAAAATTAGATAAATTTAACTAAAAATAGAGAGATTTAAATAAACACTTTCTTGAAGTTTAGAGAGAAGATGGCCAAAAAATATGCTTGTTTGAGTCTCGATTGTCGAAGAAAAACAAACAATATTCATGTGCGCAAAGTGTTAGTAAATAAATTCTTTGAAAAAAAATTAAAGAATATGAAACTTGGTATCTTTTGAAATACTTAGAAATACAACATATTAAAAGTGTCTTTTTAAATACTCAAAAATATAACATATTAAAAGCTATATATTAAGAAAGATTTATAGAATATTTCTATTAGTTATTTTGATTCTGTAAACATTAGTTATTTTGAATATAATTATATTAAAATGTAAAACCGCGTGTAGCTTAAGATATAAAAACAATTAAATCCTTGGATTCGGAAACAATATAAAAATTATTATTGCATAAACCAATAAAAGCAACAAGAACAATTGAGATATTTTTTTACTATATTACGATGGATCTATATAGTAAATATAAACTTTTATAAAATTGACCGAATATGACAAACATTATAAATATATTATCAAAGAGCTCTAGAATGTAGTTTTTCATTTTATTTATTTTTTTATGTTAAACCATATAAATTACGCATGAGAGTAAGCTCTATTTATCAATATATTCTCTTATCCTATTTTATTTTAATCTCACATTTATACGCTCAATACGTTATTGTTTTGACTAAAATGATGCTCTTTTAAGCAATTAATTTGAACTCTTCCATTTTAAAAATATAAAAAACTTAACCATAAAAATTAAACCAAACCAAAACGTTAATAATTTGAGATTATAAAGGATACTAACTATTTAAATTGATTTAGATTTTTTTTTTCTTTCCTAAAATAAACTAAACTAACCCAGAAATATTCTTAATTATCCTTCGCCTTTAGTCAAAATCACCGTTTTTTCAGAAAATTTTTCTAAGGTCATGTTTTTTCATTCAAGTTTTAAGCATTAAGAGAATTATTTTTCTAGTTGTATAACTTTTTTTTTAATTTATAACTGTTTTTTTAACTAAAATAATTATGTAATCAGTTTTATTTTTGACTGATCATATATTTAAAGTGAAATATTTTTTAAAATAAAAATGTTATTTTACCATATTATCACAAGTGATTGGTTACTTAAATTTAGTTATTTTTTAAAATTAAATTAATTATTATTAATAAAAAAATAAATATACATAAACGTAACATATGTGTTTTTATTAATAAATTCAGAAACCAACGTAATAACGAAGTACCATTATAAAGATCAAATCCACAATTTTCCGTTTAATAAATTAATCATATGGAAGAGATCCGCTTATTGATGCTAATCCAAGTTCAAAGTTCAAGTTTTTTTTAAGGTCTCGTTATTGAAATTTTTTTAGAAAAACAAAAACTAACAAATGATATATGTGAAAATAATTAACATTTTGAACTAAAATAATTATTTTAGTGTGTTTTTTTAAAAAAAGATATCAACGTTGCTTTCCTTTCACTTGCATTCCTAATTTTCTTTTCATGTGTTTCTTAAATATTTTAGCAATAGTATACTTTCGCGCCCACCGTATTTCCTAGAGTTTAATTTTATTTTATAAGCAATTATTCTCTAATGAAGGATTAATGCAGTGTTTGTTTCACTTTGGTGTTGGAGGGTTGAAGTTCAACAGGTACCGTTTTTCTTCCTTCCTCATTTCCAACGGATGTTTTTCGAACAAAAGAAAATTCAAATTTTTTATCGGCATTCAAATTTTAGTTGAGAGAAAATATCTCACATTGTTCACTAAACTGATTCAAAATCTCCAATTTTGGTCTTCTTCTCAGTAATTTGTTTAACGAGGGATCATCAGCACTCAAGAAAAAGGTAACAACATTAGTTTCCTCAGGGTCCCTATTCTTCTATTCCTTCAAAGTTTTAATCACTCTGAAACTGCAAGGGTAGTTCTTTTGCCACTCTGAAATTGCATGGGAGGATTTCCTGATCATACTTTTCCTTTTGAAGTAAAGTAAAACGTCTCCGAACCACGTTTCTCTATGCGTGGCACAATAAAGAATCAATTTTGATGTTCCATTCTTTCCTTTTCTTTTGTGCTTTGGTTCTCATCTATTGCTTCGATTGTCATTTTACCGTCGTTAACTGTGTTTTCTTTCATGTAGGTCATTTGGAGCGTTTGTTTCATTGCAAAATCTTTCGTCCATTGAGAAATTTCACTCATTTCTTGAATTTGTGCAAAAGGGTATGCTTCACTTTCTTCTCATGAAAACCCATAAACGTTTCGTTTTCTTGCTTTGTACCTGATCAGTTCTCTCTCTGTTTTGGATCATGTTTTGTGGGTTTCGCAGGTGGGATTTTGCAAAACTTTGCAAAGATGAATGATTTGATGACAAAATCGTTCCTAAGTTATGTGGAACTTAAGAAACAGGCACAGAAGGACCGTGAAGGCGATCTTGACATTGAGGCAGGGAAACTCTACCCCACGGAAGACCGCAACCTCTCTCAGTTCTTTCAAGAAGTTGAAGCAATCAAGGTTGAAATGGAAGAGATCACCAATCTCTTATTTGATCTTCAGCAACTCAATGAAGAGGCAAAGTGCACCCACAGTGCCAAAGTGCTTCGAGGCCTAAGGGACCGGATGGAGTCTGACATGGTTGCCGTGCTTCGCAAGGCACGGATTATCAAGGAAAAGCTTGAGGTTCTTGACAAATCCAACATGGTCAACCATAGTTTGTCAGATTCCTACAAAGAGGGGAGCTCAATTTACAGGACCAGAATGTCTGTCACAAATGGTTTGAGGGTCAAGCTTAGGGCCATGATGAATGATTTTCAGTCATTGAGAGACCAAATTTTATCTGATCACAAGGAAGATTTGAAGAGAAGGTACTATACAGCAACGGGTGAGGTTCCCACTGAAGAGGTCATGGAGAAGATGGTTTCTGGGAGTCTCAAAGTGGAGTTTTTGGCTGGGAAAACGGATGCAGAATTGGACACTCAGGTTAGGCATGAGGCTGTAATGGATATCCAGAGGAGTTTGAATAAGCTTCACCAGGTTTTTCTTGATATGGCTGTTCTGGTTGAGACACAGGGAGAAAGCGTGGATAACATTGAGGATAATGTGGCCAATGCGGGTAACTTCATCCATGGTGGAACCAATAGTCTCTACTATGCCAACCAAATGAAGAAGAAGAACAGAAAGTGGGTCTGTTGGGTTTTCGCTGTGGGGCTGATTATACTACTCGTATGCATCGTTGCAATGTTGTCTTCTTGACTAGTGCAATTGACAAGGAGATTGGTTTGGAGTTTTGAGACTGTAAAGCTACTTTCATTTTACAGTTCAGTGGTTCTTGTGTTGTTGAAAACAGTTATGTTGATTGATTCAAACTTGTTCATGAGAACAAAAATTTACCTAATAGAATTGATTGGTAATATTCGAGTTACTTTTTCTTTTTGGTCTTTGGTTTTGAACATTAGCGAAGTTAGTTTGTTCTTCATTTGGGTTTCAGTGATTTTCCCCTCGGTAATAACCTTAAAGAAAGAGGCCTAAAAATAAAAATGGCATCGCCAAATAGCCAGTTCCATTCGTAATTTTCAAAAGCTGTCTAGTAATAACTGGTCAATGTTGAAACGACAACGTAGGTGGAAAAAGCCAAAGGAAGGCGATTTTATTCTTTCTATCTTATCCCAAACTAGTGAGAATAAATTATAGCCACTCATTTTGCGCAATGTCCACTATTTTTTTCTCCAAATTACTTCAACTTCTCTTCGGAGGATAACTCGATTTCTTTGCACTTCGACGGTGGCTATGCTGCTCGTTTCTCCAAATGCGGAGCAGACCCAGGCCTTATTGGAGAGATGTTCAAATATAAAAGAACTAATGCAGATTCATGGCCAATTGTTGAAAAAAGGCACTATCAGGAATCATTTAACAGTACACAGGCTCTTGGCTTCGTATGCAAGAATAGAGTTGGGTGACTTAGCCTACACTCGTATGATTTTTGACAGAATAAGTTTACCTAATACTGTCATATGGAACGCCATGATCAGAGCATACTCAAATAGTAATGACCCAGAAGCAGCGCTTCTTTTGTACCATCAGATGCTTCACCATTCGGTACCTCACAATTCTTACACTTTCCCTTTCCTTCTGAAAGCATGTTCTGCCCTTTCAGCCTTTGAAGAAATCATGCAAATCCACGCTCACATTATCAAAAGGGGTTTCGCTTCGGAGGTTTATGCCGCAAACTCTCTCCTTCGTGTGTATGCAATTTCGGGCAACATCCATTTTGCACACGTTCTATTCAATCAGCTTCCCTCACCGGATATTGTTTCTTGGAACACAATGATTGATGGGTACATAAAATTTGGAAACGTAGATATGGCCTACAAGATTTTTAACGCGATGCCTGCGAAGAATGTCATCTCTTGGACAACCATGATTGTTGGGTTTGTTAGGGCGGGCAGGCACAAAGAAGCTTTGTCACTTCTTCCGCAAATGCTGGCTGCTGGCATCAAACCTGATAGTATAACTCTCAGTTGCTCTCTTTCAGCATGTGCAGGCCTAGGTGCATTGGAGCAAGGCGAGTGGATTCACACCTATATTGAAAAAAACGAAATAAAAATAGATCAAATTTTGGGTTGTGTTCTTATAGATATGTATGTTAAATGTGGTGAAATGGAAAAAGCCCTACTAGTGTTCAGTAAGTTGGATAAGAAATGTGTCTGTGCTTGGACAGCAATAATTGGTGGCTTTGCAATCCATGGAAAGGGTAGAGAAGCTCTAGATTGGTTTACCCAAATGCAGTTAGAAGGAACTAAGCCAAATTCGATCACTTTTACCGCAATTCTGACTGCATGTAGCCATGCAGGACTCACTAAAGAAGGAAAGTCCCTGTTTGAGAGCATGAGTTCTGTTTACAATATTAAACCCACTGCCGAGCATTATGGATGCATGGTGGATCTTTTGGGTCGTGCAGGGTTGTTGAAAGAGGCAAGGAAGTTCATAGAGTTCATGCCCATAAAGCCAACTGCTGCAATATGGGGAGCACTGCTCAATGCTTGCCAACAGCACAAACATTTTGAGCTTGGTAAAGAGATTGGCGAAATTCTGATCAAGTTGGACCCTGATCATAGTGGTCGGTATATTCATTTGGCAAGCATATATGCTGCAGCCGGAGAATGGAACCAAGCAGTCAGAGTGAGAAGCCAGATCAAACATAGGGGACTGCTAAATCATCCAGGATGCAGTAGCATCACCCTGAATGGGGTTGTGCACGAGTTCTTTGCTGGGGGTGGATCCCACCCACGAGACCAAGAGATATATGACATGCCTAATCATCTTGCAAATAGATATGTTAACTATTGATGAAAAGATTGAGAGGAGAGTGAAATGAAAAATGGTTCTCAATGCCTGTTGAGATTAATGAAAATGAAAAAAATATAGTTCTCCCGTGTCTATAGAAGGAAGAGAAAATTATTATTTCCTTTTTGTTGTTACAATAATAATAATGTTATGAATGTAATGAGATTTAGACAAGGTTTATCTCATACATTATGCTTACTAGTAGTGGCATAGAAAATTATTTATACAGCAGATACATACTTTTGGCCTATCAAATTAAAAAAATAACCGATGATGTAGAAGCACATTTACAATTCAAGCTGTGCTAAGGTGCTGCACAGCTGTCCAAGTCTGTTCTGGCTCTAGCTGGACACTTCCAATCTGAAGCAATTAGTAGTAGTAAATATAATATTCAGAAGAATCAATAGAGAAGGTTTTAGCAATTAGAATACTGTGTTACTGCAGGATGTCCAAGAGGATGTCAAAAAGCCACTAGTGTCTACTTAAATTCAATAGCCATCATGTCAAAATTGTGGTCATGAAAACATGCTCCGCCAAGCGGAGAATATCTTTAATGCTTTTGTAAAATGTTTTGTAAAGTCATTACCTTAGCATTTTCGACACAAACAAAATCTTTATAACATGCCTCCATTTGAAGATAAGGATTCCACAACACAGCATCTGACCAACTGCATGTGTAAGAGGCAAAATAAGTAGAGCAAGTGAATTGGGCAAACCAAATAATTAATAGAAGTTTAAAATTACATACTTTGTGTTCTTGATAGATATTAGATCACCCAAACCATTGTCAAGTTGCAACTCACTGGAAGCATCAAGGTAAACACAATCTACAAATCCAGGGAAAGTAACCACATCCCTGCATTATGAAGATTCCACATTATTCAATGAAATTTTGGTTTTACGTGAATTAGATTGAGTCAAATATATACCTTTACAATAGATAAAGATGAAGAATGACAAAAAAATAAAAACTCAAATGCACGGGAGATATGTTGGCCACCAAATGAATGCAATGTTTCGGACTTCTAGTTTAAATTTAGGCAAAATGAATAAAGGTGGATTTTGAGTAATAGTTGACATATATAAAGAACAAAGCGTATGCACAACAAGAAAATGCATGTCAACATATGTATAGCTTGGTAAAGTTCATTGGAAATGCTTTAAAAGTTACTTAGCATAGTTTGTTATCTAACCCTTGGACTAAACGAAAGCAAACTTCAGTAACTGCCATTTTCTTTATCCATCCCAATTAATTATTGTTTTATATCTATTTAAGAATCCCCTGACAAAAGTATCATACATACCTCTCTTCCCTACCCTCCACCGGATTTTTAGGATCTGGATCTTTGTTCAAAGTTTTGCTACCTTTCAACCCCTTTACTGATGCATCACTAGCAGAAGCCTGCAAGACAACACAAAATTATTACTTCTACAAGTTCAAGAAGCAAGTGTAAGCAATAGAGTCGAGTTAAAAAATTGTGCATTAGATTAGATCAAAATGATTTAAATAACACTGAAAGGTAAATGTTTGTAAACGGATTGGATGTTTAGTTTCAGTTAAGATCTTCAGTAAACCCAATACCAAATGTCAAAGAACAGAAAAACACTGTTTAGGTTATTCCATGGTGTGATTATCCAAATTTCCGACCCCAATCACTTACTCGAAAATAAGTATGCAAGGCGGTACTAAATGAGAATGCTTTACTGTCTGTATTTTTAACTGTTAGTTCGGTTGAAAGACTTTTAGCATTTAGTGTGACCTGCACAAAAGGAAGCAAACAATTGCGTCATCATTAGGTAGAAGAACATGACAGATGTTAGCGCAAGTAGCCTAATACTATTACAATGGCTCTTCTATAGTGACAGTACTTCAGAGGATAAAGTGCAATTATACTTGTTCACTGAAAAAACAACAGTTGGAATTCAGTAAAATACATGTATGTGCATAATAAACTATGAAGTTTCAATCTCAACTGTACAGTTTATCCTCGAAAGTGAAAACCTCATTTTGGAGAACATAATATGTAGTATTACAAAGATGAATTGTGGTTGAAAAAAAATAAGCCATTAACCTTGAATAAAGCATGGAAGCTGAAATCCCACATAGCACGACTATAAGGAGAATCCTTCAGTTCCATAGTTACAACAGGACTTCCTTCTGCGTTCTCAGAATCAACAAGAGTCCAATCCACATTCCGTGCAAACCCATGCTGTTGAATACTCAACCAAGCAAATGTTTTAAATGAAAGCATTGGTATACAGTGGAAAAGAAGAACATTACAATCATAAACCACTCATGAATTGGAATTTTACTAAAGGGAAGCAAGTTCTATTAGCTAAAAGAAGAAAAAATTACCAGAGTAACCCAACAGTCAACTACTCACACTGTGACCTATAAGCCAGGACCGAGAGGTCCATTACCTCTATTTCCCAGCCTTTTTGTATTTTAATGTAGCAGATATAACATGAAAAAAGATATGAACTGCAGAAAATGGATGGCATTGAGTAATTGACTAAATAAGTACGCATACCTGCTGAATTGGACCGGGACCAAACTGTGGAAAACAATGCGGAACGCCTCCACTGCCCAAATATAAAATTCATCAGTGCTGGGTCCAAAATGAGCGTAAATTAGAACAGCAAAAAACTAAACTATATGATTGGCACAATCTACGGAGAGATTCTTAAGAGAGTAATTGAGCATTTGAAGTAAAGAGAAAAGGGGTTTGTAGGAGAAGAACCTAACCTTATCGGTTTCTTCCCGTTGAAAACAGCGTCAGGGCGAACAAAGAGGAGGTCCTTGCCACTGGGAACTTTCCAAGAGGTAATGCACCCTCCGTAGAGGTATATCTCAGCTTCACTGCACACACTCCACAGATTGATTCACCGTTGCATTAAAGCTCGTGTAAAGGCCAAGAGTGAAACGAAAATCGGTTGTAGAAAACTACGCACCTACCAGCCGGAGAAGAGAGCACAAGCTTGGGCAAATTCCCCTCTCCCTCTGTCAGTCGCACTCCCAAAGATGCACCTTTTTGATTGCTCAAGCTTGCAAACGCCATTCCACCACGCCTTTTACCAGATGCAAAGTTTATCAATTTGAAACTACCGAAGAATTTTTACGTTAGCATAGAAATTTAAATTTAGATTAACCTGTTAATTTGGCAACGATTGGGGAAGGTGGGATTGTTGACGCTCAATGCCATGGAAACCACCGCCATTTGTTTTCCTGCTTTCACTCTCGCTCACACTCACAAAAATTATAATTCTACTTTTCATTTTAGTTCACGAATATTGATTTACACCCCGAACCGGCCCAAAACCAATGGTGGGCCGAACATATTGAGCCCATGAAGGAATAGGAAAATCCAGTGGAAATGTGTTTGGGACAAGAAATGTGAAGAGAAAGAAATGTGGCGATCACTGGAGTTGTTGGGGAAGGTGAAAGCGAAAGCGGTTAGTGGGGTCCAGTTGAAATGGATGAGCACGGTGATGTGTTTGGGTGATGGTAGCCAAGGAGCCGTTGGATCTCCGGTGGGTCTGGGACTCCACGCATATGAACCCACCCCTGTTGCTACTCTTCCTTCCGACATCGTTAGCGTCCACGCCGGACACTACCATTCCCTGGCCCTCACTTCCCACGGCCATCTCTGGGCCTGGGGCCGAAACAACGAGGCCCAACTCGGCCGCGGCCCATCCTCCAGGTAAGTAAAGTAGAGTAGAGTAAAATAAAGTGAGTCCAGTTTTGTTGGTTATTTTGAGAAGCAGCTTTTTTATGGTATTTGCTAGAGAATCATGGCATGAGCCAGAGAGAGTGAAGGGGTTAGAGAGTGTGAAAGTGTGTGCTGCTTTTGCTTCGGGTGTTGTTTCCGCCGCCGTTGGGGATGACGGTTCGGTGTGGGTGTGGGGGAAGTCCAAACGCGGTCAACTTGGGCTTGGTGAAAATATCACCAATGCTCTTGTGCCTACCAAAGTTGAAGCACTTTCTGGAGAGAACGTCTCAAAGGTATTGTTTTTCCACTTCATTCCCTGCTCCCATTCGTAACCAGCTTAACTTGTCTCTTCAATTGTTTCTTTGGTTGAATTTGGACAGATCTCGTTTGGATGGGGGCATGCTCTCGCTCGTACTTCGGATGGCAAGTTGTTTGGATGGGGTTATTCTGCGGACGGTAGGATAGGCAAAATGGGTAATCGCTTTGAGACATCTCCGTTGGAATCCACGTTTCGGAATAACTCACAACTCTCTAGTTCAGACCTCAAAGATGCTGAAAACAGAGTCTTGCAAGGAATGGAACAGGAGAATGACATACCAATAGTGTGGGAGCCCCGCTTGGTTGAAGAATTACGCGGTGTTCATGTTGTCGACATTGCGTGTGGCCTTGATCATTCTCTAGTTCTTTGCCGTATGTAACACACAACAGTCAATGCACACCTCATTCATTCTCGTAACAATTTATAAGATGCATGTGCTTTGTCCTTGAGTTTTTACTGTCTTATATCAGGTGACGGTATGCTCTTGAGCTGTGGGAGCAACGTTTATGGCCAGTTGGGTCGAGCTGAAGCAGATTTGGGAATTTTTCCCGTTGACATGAGCTTCACTCCCATTTTTATTGCAGCAGGGCTTGGGCATTCATTGGCAATATGTCAGCTAGGTGAATCGGATGGTAGTGTGGGGACTACAAACATTGCTTCGTGGGGATGGAACCTTAGTTCTCAGCTTGGGAGGCTCGGGGATGGGAAAGTACCCTCTTTCATTGATGCATTGAATGGGGAAAACCCTGTCTCGGTTTCGGCTGGGCGTGCACATTCCCTTGCTCTCACGTCCAAAGGGGAATTGTGGTTATGGGGCTCTGGTAAAAGCGGCAGACTTGGATTGGCTACTTCTGCTGACCAAGTGGAGCCATTTTGCCTTGATTCTTTGGAGGGTTTTCAAATTTTACAGGCCGTGGCGGGGTTTGATCATAATCTGATTCTAGTTGCTGGCTGATTTGGCTTCAGCATATACC